AAGATATTAAATGTAAAATTAGGATTTCCCTTTACTAAATGTAAAATTTATAGAAGGACCTAAAGTAGGACAGGTTTTGTTTTAGTAAATATAAAGAGTATAAAGACCTAAAGCAGGACAGGCAGTTGCTTTACTAAGTATAAAGACTATGGAATAAAGTAACTTAGGACAAGATTTTGGTTTACTAAGTATAAAGACTTAAAGTAGGACAGGTTTTGTTTTAGTAAATATAAAGAGTATAAAGACCTAAAGCAGGACAGGCAGTTGCTTTACTAAGTATAAAGACTATGGAATAAAGTAACTTGGGACAAGATTTTGGTTTACTAAGTATAAAGACTATAAAGACTTAAAGTAGGACAGGTTTTCCTTTAGTAAATATAAAGAGTATAAAGACCTAAAGCAGGACAGGCAGTTGCTTTACTAAGTATAAAGACTATGGAATAAAGTAACTTAGGACAAGATTTTGGTTTACTAAGTATAAAGACTAGAAAGACCTATAGGAGGACAGGGTTTTCCTTTAGTAAGTATAAAAACTATTAGTACCCAAAGTGGGACAGGGTTTTGCTTTAGGAAGTATAAAGACTATAGAAGGACCTAATGTATAATAGGGTTAATGTTACAAAGTATAATGACTGTAGAATGACCTAAAATATGACAGGGTTTTATTTTTTAAAGTGAAAGATTGGACAGGTGGTTCAAAGTAAGACAGGCTTCAATAAAGGCAATAAGGTTGAACACCAGTAGGTGGTACATTTTTTAAATATTTTCTTGTAAACCTAACATTAGTATTTAGGACTGGGCTAGTATTTGTATAAACAGGCCAAGGTAAAACCAGGAAAATTGACCATGAGAGTGAGAAAAAATTTGTGTTTAGTGAAAGTAAAGATTAGGAAGTATTTTTTTTTTCTTTTGAAGAGCTTAAAGAAAGGATATCTACCCACAAGACTAGGAACATGTATGACTCAAGTCTGTTGGAATAATCAAAGGTTAAACTTAGACATTGGTGTTGTATCTGTGTTCATCAGATAAGGCAATCAATTATACAGCATTAAATGTAATATTGTATAGAGTCGTATATGGAAAATAATCAATGAAAACATAAATAAATCTTGAAAGAAAATGTTATGTTTTGTCATATAAATATGAAGGTTCTATTCTCATTTAACATGATTTATTTTACTTATGAAAAAAATAGCACACTGTGCATATACATATCTAGCTTATGTTTAAATTTCGGATCTACCTAGCATAGTGTTGATTTATTAAGCACATCTTTTGAAACCAGTAACTTGTAATAGTCATAGATGCAACCCTTGTTGTAAATTAAAAGATATTAAAATCAATTGCATCATGCTGATCTGTTTTATTGTTAAAGTTAGTAAACACATTTTATAGAGTTCTCTGCTGGTAACGGAATCCTAAAAGCAATCTTTCGATAAGTGTTTGACATAAAACATTCTGTAAGTAGATATATGTTATAAAGGACTTCATTAAGATATAGCTACATAAAGGAATTTTTTTTAGCTCACACAGTCTTTTAATAGATGTACATAATTATAATGGTGTGGAAGTAAACATACCTAAAGTTTAGGAACACCACACCTTAAAATAAGTTGTTCTGTATTTTGCTGCTGCAGTCCTATTTTAATAAACGTATTAGTGAGTCTGCATTTGGTATTAGTTGCAGTCTAAACTGTTACTAAAACTTGCAAATAAATGTTGGTAGACATCTTGCAATAGACTGTAACTTTCCATGCAAAACATATTGAAATGTAATCTGTTCTTTCTGCTACTTGGATATCGTACCCAAATATCCTGTAGTGGTTCCACTTGATTCAGATTGGGACTGTGAGCTGTCAAAGTAAATTCTGGACCATTTCAAACCACCACTGGATTAGGTGTAGACTACATTGAGTACTAGGTGACAATCTCTGAGGATGTGTCCAGCAGATGCTGACATATCACGTAGAGGCTGGCTGCTTGCAGGAGGTTAAATAGTGGCCTTCTGGCTCTATAATTCAATAGCTTCTTGACTTAATCAATATAACCAGTTGCCTATAAGGAGCAAGTGGTGTCACATAAACTAATGGGTTAATTGAAATTACAATTAATCAAAATTAGTGTACAAAACTGTTTCAAATGTTTCTTTTTAATCTTAAAACTTTTTCTAATCAAAAACAACACATATCTGTGGATGAAAAACTGTCAATTTTTAACAATGTAAATGTTATATTTGGAATTGGTGGAAGAAGACAAAATTTTTTTGGCAAACGTTTAAAGATGTAAAAACATAGATTTGGATATTTGGAAACATTGAAATTTTGTTAGGCTTTATGTATAGAGGTAACAGCCTGATCTTCAATATGTAGAAGTAGTAATATAACAATACCAAACATCAAATTATATCCTAATCTTCACTGTGATAGTCAATACAACGTTAAATATCAGATCATACTCTCATGGACCAACCATCAAAATGTATAGACAATCACTATGATGTCAAATATCTTTAAAGGTAGTTACTGCAACATCAATATTAGTAGACACTCCAACATTCAAATAAACGATCACTGTGGCATCAAATACCAGAAAACATCTTATCTTTAAAGGTAGTTACTGCAACATCAATATTAGTAGACACTCCAACATTCAAATAAAGCAATCACTGTGACGTCAAATACCAGATGACAACCTAATCTTTAAAGGTAATTCACAATAACATGAATCAGTGAAGTTAAACTTTCTAACAAACATTATCGTAGTTGGATAAGTGAAAAGAAACTGCAGGACTAAGGTTTGAACTTAGAACCTTTGGATAACAGAGTCAATGATATGCCCAATTGAGATATTCAAGATTACAAGTTGTCCCTCTCCCTTCACTCATAAGCCTTTTGAACTTTCGAAACTTCATATTACTTTGTGTTATTGTGATCAAGAAATTAGTGGGTTGATTTACACCACACAACCAAATCATAGGAGTCTAACTAGACTCATATATATTGTATTATTACTATATTTAATTAATATTTTAAAAGTAAACTTATGGCAGACAAGTTTTTTCAAGACCAAACTAAATATGATTGAAATTTTGGATTCAAATTTCAAGTATTTGACAAGGGGAAGGGAACTGCACTAATAAATAATTGTGAATTAGGACTAGCCACTGAAATATCAACAATATTTCAGACAATTGGGGTATTGTACCAAAAAAAAAAAAAGATTCTTAAAAATATGCCTTATAAACAACTTTACAAAATAGAAGTACTAGGTGTAGTTTTCACATTTCTTTCTGAACTTTGACACTGCATAATGATATTAGAAATAACTTGTCTTTATTTAATGGAAGAAATTGAATCAAAATTATACTCGTGTCTTTTATGAAAGTAATCTTCTAGAACAGCAAATCTAAAATAGTTTCTATAAAAGTGGAGAAATTTTTTGTAGTAGACACAAAAAAAAATTACATGAAGTTATTTTGGAACACAAAATTTGGATTTGGAAGTAGTAATGATAGTTCTGATCTAATCACAACATAATATATTCTTCTGACTTGAGTTTACTAAAGATGTGATATCTTCATTCCTTGTACAGTAAAGATATTTCACCACCATCAGTGTTATCATCAATGATTCAGTCAGATGTGGCAACTAAATATAGGTACTTTGTGCAAGCAAAAATTCCATATTTATCACTTTGTACTGAAATGGCTTTTTCATATTTTTTTCTATTCCCACACTTTCATACATTCGACCATACTGCAAAGCTGGAGAACTTGACGCTGTTACATTTGTTAGCTTCTTTAACAGCTTGTGTAAATCTTTGAGTGAGGTTGACTTCACTATTTCACCAAAATTACTAGCAGTACCTGGTTGCTAACCAAAGTTGGGAAGTTGCTTGCTCTCATGTCAGTTCTAGTATACATTTTAGCAGTTTTAAAATAATGTAGTTAAAGTACTAAATATAGTATTGTTGACGTTATCAAAGTTTTCTGATCTATCATGATTTGACTTGCTTTATAGAATAATATTGTTACGACAGCGGGGGTCACGTGACGCTAGTAACACGTCAGATTCTCGAAGGCTCCTGAAGTCTCCAGCGTTTACAAGATTTGCGGTATTCCTGTATATATAAGCCGCCACGAACTGACGGCAACAATGTGTAATTGAACTGCGGACAGAGAGAGACGTATTGTTGAGCGAGCACATGAGATGTTCGTTGTGAATTATAGCGCGACTGTGGAAATTAAGTGTATTCAGAAAGAATAAACAGTTTTATTTATGAAAGGACTTGTATCGCTAAAGTTTCATCGGAAAGAATTTTTTTTTACGGAAAATTAACTAACGACCAGAGATGTAACAATATAAACTATTCCTACTAATTTATCAGTTCATTGTTTTTCACACACAATGTTGTTCCTCATTTCTGTAGTTATTCTCTCTGTTGAGGTCACAATGTTGTTCCTCATTTCTGTAGTTATTCTCTCTGTTGAGGTATTGTATACTTCTCATAGTTTGTCATTTTGTAGTTTTAAAGCCCAATGAAGATGATGTTTGTAATACCCCTGTAGCAAAGTATAAGCTTAGAATAACCCAGTAGTGTATCAGAGCCATCTAACAAAATAGTTCTACTCCATTATTGCACTAAATATTAGTTGGCACCCTACTCTGTAATGTTATGACATAAAGTACTAGATAATGTTGTGATTATGACAAAATACCATATACTACTATTACGTCTCCGTTCGTTAGCTAATTTTCCGTAAATTCGTTCCGACGAAACCTTAGCGACACAAGTCCT